TTGAAGACGTTGAAGAGATGCTCAACAACCTCCCTGGCGTGACATCAGTTCACAGTCGTTTCTACGATCTCTCTAGTAAATACTATCAAACAATCGGAAACCACGCATCCTACTACAAAGATGCTCTGCGGTTTCTAGGCTGTGTCGACATCAAGGATCTTCCAGGTAACATGGGGCCGTTAGAGTCCGTGTCGTGAGAGCTCACTCTCGGGGCGTGGTAGCAGGCCTCAGAAATTCCTCCAGTGTATCTATCCCTTGTTGAGGAAAGCCCACGTGGTGATAGGCTGGAAAGAGCCATGAGAGTGTTAGTTTTTACAGGTGTCTGCCTTCAGCGTTGAGTTGAGATGAGCCTGCACCCTATAGCCCTTCACCGTCCCTTCCCCAGTCTTCCCGGCTCTCTGAGTCAGAGGCCTTGGTGAGAAGCGCAGCGATGCAAGTCCCTCGACCCCTACAGCACGAAGGGCGCGCCGCCACCCTGTACCTGAGAGTCGTGTTCCAAAAACCGCACAAGACCCAGGGGAATAACTTACTTACGAAAATCACTTGCAAAGCAAAATGAACAATGAGTTTTGGGGAAAGTGCGAGGAGTATGTGTTTAAAGAAGAAATTTGAGCCTCTTGGGTGTTTCTCACAGTACACCATTGAAGCTGTGGAGACCAGCGACGCCTAAAGATGTTAGTGCAGTTTTTAGATGCAGTTCCTGCAGCTCAAGAAAAATATGTTGGAAAGCACAGCTGATGTGGTCAAGAGAATAGGGAGTTGTTGTATGGGAAAGGAAGACTGTAGTCTGAAAAGAGGCCGAATGAGGGGACTTTAAGATAAATGAGAGGTATCACTTCCATAGGAAACAAGAGGTATAAGGAACCTGCTACTCCAGGAAGTAGATGAGCTGAAAATGTAAATCGATTCACTTATTTAGGTAGAAATAAGTGAATGAATGTCTTTCCCACAAAACCTGTGTATGCGGTTCCAGGTATAACTTGAGCTGATATGGTACTTTAAAAGAGACGACTAACGTTAAGGCTTTGTGATATAACCATTACAGGGAATGGTTTCTTTTTTATGAGAGTTTTAAAGCCAAGCAGGACTGATTCTTGTAACTGGGGTGTCACTGGAGATGTGTTGTTGCCGTAGTGTCTGAGCAGCAGGAGAGAGCTTTCACGCTGGGACTAGCAGGACTTCTTGGCGAGGGAGTTTTTAACTTTGGAGAACTCGTAAGTGGACCCTGGTCACAGATTTCTTAACAAGGGGGAGACTGATTTCTTTGCCAGCTAACTGTCTCGTCCTCACAGCTCATGCACCCCGTGCTGGAATCACTGAGGAACACCGACCGCCAGTGGCTGATTGACACCCTTTATGCCTTTAACAGTGGCAACGTAGAGAGATTCCAGACCCTGAAGACCTCCTGGGGCCAGCAGGTCAGCCATGGGAAGGACGGCTGAGCACTCCTACATGCTCCTGGCTCTCCTTCCTTGCGTCTGTTTATTTAACAGATGTTGACTTGCACCTTCTACACGCCAGCCGCTGGGGAGACAGGAGACTAAGACGAGCCAGTCTTGCTCTCATAGAGCAGGTGGTTAAGTGGCTAGTTAGAGTAGTAACTCAGCTACTCTGATAGAATAGGGGAGTGTCATCTGGGCGAAAGGGCTATCACAGAGGACTGCCCCAAAGAAGCCATGCTCTGTGTCTGACCTTAGGTGTGAGTGGAATTTAGCCAAGGGAAGAATATGAGAAGAGTATATTCAGCAGAGGAAAAGGAAGCTTTTAGCATGTTGCTGAATTGCAGTAGGGTATGTGAGGCTCAAGTGAGTGAATGATGAGAGTCGGGGAGAGCCCAGGGTGAGGGAAGGCAGGACGGTCTGCGCAGGGCAGAAGCAGTGGATGGGAGGAAGGGGTCAGTGCAGGGGATGGCGGGGCAGTCAATGCAGAGGAAAAGAGGTAGCAGGGGAGAGGGCGCCGGGCAAGGAGTGGAGCCTCTGGGAGGTGTGAATTAGGGAGGAGAGGTGTTTAACAAGGACCTGAGCTTTAATAGTAAGTTTATTCTTTTTCAAATGAAACTGTGAGAAGCAAAATTGCTAAAATGTTCATAGTGATAGGGATCATGGTTGTATTACTGTTTCGTACTTTTCTAAAGCTTCAGTTTTCTCAAAGTTCAAAATAAACTTGTAGAATTCACACATAACAGAGCCGAGTAGATACAAACGGACTGTGAAGAGGCAGAAAGCAAGTCCAGTCGATCCTAACTGTAGTCTGTATTTTGATCTCTGAAAGAAAAAATTGTGCCACTTGGAAAGAAAGATGGCTAGCCGTAGAAAGTTAAGAAAACTAGAGCCGTGTGCCTGCGGCACCTGTCTAGGCAGCAAGAGCCCATCTGGGGCGAGTGGGCTCTTTCTGAAGAGCCTGACCTGTCCAGTTCCCTGCTGGCTCTGCCTGTGTTGGGGTGTGAGTTCCTAAATGTTTGAATCCGGTAACCCCTTCTCCTTTCTTGTCTCTGTGCTCAGCAGTGACCTGTGACCTACCTGTAGGGTGACTACAGGTCACGCAGAGGGCATGGTTCTCATGATAAGGCCGGTTTTCATTATAAATTAATAACCTGCTCTTTCAGTTCAGAACAAGCCCCTGGAGCGTAAGGAGTGTGTTCCTCAGAGGCTCCCCTTACACAGAGCTGACGGAGCAGGCAGTACACTTGGACCTGCTCAGGCACAGGATGGGTCCTTCCCTGCCTTTCTTTGTGCCAAGTCACCTGGTGTCTGTAAACCAGGTGCCCCCTGGTGTCTGTAAACCTCGTAAATGCCTTGTGTGGGAGCATGACATTTCCGGGGTGCACCTTCTAATGGTTTCCTAAGAAAAGTGAGCCTCCGTGATCTTCAGCGTAAGGTGTTTGGACCTGCAAAGATTCTTTGTGTTCACTCTGTTGTAGAATTTCAAAGCCCAGGTTGGGTAACTGATGCTTTCTACTTTACAGCCTGACTTGGCAGCCAATGAAGCCCAGCTTCTGAGGAAAATTCAGCTGTTGTGCCTCATGGAGGTAAGCAGGCACCCAGGAACCGCTCGCTGTGTGAACGACTGCCGTAAGCTAAGTGTGGAAAGCGTGTTCTTAATGAGATACACGACTAACCTAAAGGAAGAGTTTAGTGTGTGGTTCACTAATAAGATCTAGGTTTTCAGAACAAGTATTGACAAAAACGTTCCTATCAGTCAGTTCTCTGACAATTTCTATTTGGAAAAGTAGTTAACAAGCAAAAATTTTTTTTCAGATGACTTTCACACGACCTGCCAATCACAGACAACTCACTTTTGAAGAAATTGCCAAAAGTGCTAAAATCACCGTGAACGAGGTACAGGTTATTGGACTCTGGATGGTCCAGTGGTACAGCTGCTACCTGGACGGGTCAGGGCTCCTGTGAGCACGGCTCCCTAGACTCCAGACCACAAAAGACAGTGTCTTGTTCCCCCATATTTCAGGGCCGGCTGGTGTGTACTCGCAGGCCTCGGGGTGTCTTACACGAGCCCCTCTCTGCACAGGTGGAGTTGCTGGTGATGAAGGCGCTCTCAGTGGGGCTGGTGAAAGGCAGTATTGATGAAGTGGATAAGCGGGTTCACATGACCTGGGTGCAGCCCCGCGTGTTGGATTTGCAACAGGTAATGTGACTGGAACACATAGTTCACCTTTGTGGGTGTTTTGGATTGTGTCTGTGCTGTCTTAGTTTCGCTTGGATGGCAGCCATTTAGGAAGAAAGCGGTATTGACAAAGGGATTTCAGAGAATATCTTACTGCTGTAGGGACTGAGGGTTTTTCAAAGAACCGAATTTAGTGCAAGCCTGGGGTTTGAACCCTGCACTTAAAAGCTTATCGTAATAACAGGGCTGGTTGTGCTGATGCTGCCTTTTAATCTTCAAATTGGTGCTCTGATCAAATGCGTTCCTAGTTCTGTGGTTTGAGCTCAGATCCATCTTGTTCGTATTTGCTTTAAATTTAATCCTGTGGATTTCCTCTATTCTTGCCTGTTTTCTTTCATGCAAGTTTTTTTTAATGTCCTGGTGATAAGAATTGACTGGGATAAGCCCGTCTCACGTAGCCCACTCCCCCAGCTCCGATGCCCTGTTTATTAGTGCTGCCCTAAAGAATTGGCTGGAAACGTACAGCCGCCCTGTCGGGTGCTGTGATTCCCAAGTGTCCTAACACCGTGTGGTCCTGGTTTGCCTCAGATCGCGGGCATGAAGGACCGCCTGGAGTTCTGGTGCACCGACGTCAGGAGCATGGAGATGCTGGTGGAGCACCAGGCCCACGACATCCTCACCTAGCGCCCCCACCTGGCCCGTGTGTGGCAGCTGAGGCCATCTGCATTTAATGGGGGTGGGGGGTGGGGTTGTGTTTGTGGAACGGGAACCGTTCTTCCTGCTGTGAGAACGGGACTGTCACCGATGGGGTGCGCGGCCACAGATGGAAGCCTCCTTTGTGGAGGTCTCCTGTAGCCCGCAGTGGGGAGGGGTCATCAGTCTCTGGTGACCAGGCAGGCGCGAGCGTGCACATGCCCCGAGGAGCGAGAAGGCGCCACCCTGAGTGCGTGGGGACACCACTCAGAAGTTCGTCTCCATCCCATCCACCTGTGTGAATATCTCTGGTGTCGTTTGAGAATGTTCCTGTAATAAACGCACTTGTTTTGTCCTTTTTGTGGTTCTCTTTTCCTCGGTCTTAGCTTTGATGTCAAGCCTGGGCCTGGAGAGATTAAAACGCGGGAGATGGGAGATAGGGCTCGGTGGGGAGTGGGCCTCGGCCCCCCACTCCTGCCCTGGGCAAGGGGCGTCTCTGCACACACAGGGCACAGGGCAGAGCCAGGTGCAGAGGGCCGTGGGCCCCGTGGCCAAGAGAGCAAGTCCTGTCTGCTGTGGCTCAGACATGGTGTTCACCCGATGCCCACCCAGCCAGCCCTCAGCCCCGTGCTGAGTGTGCGGGGGGCGGGGATGCTCGTACACAAAGAAGAATCACCAGTGACCACTAGGTGAAGGGAAGGGTTTAATGCGATTCTTTCATCCTGTGCCTGGAGCTGGAACCACAGAGCCTTCATGCTGCCGAGCTTCTCTTGTAGCTCTCCAGGTGGTGTAAGACCCAGCCTGCAGGAATCAGGAAGCTGAGGAACATCACCGAGAGCCCGATGGCTTGCTCCTGGGTGAGGGAAGCACGGGTGAGTGCACTGGGCCATTACCAGGGTCGTTCCCAGGTCATCGAGGAAGGCCATTACCTGCCCCTCTGTGCCCGGGTCCTAACCAGAGCAGCAGGTCCAGAGTTACAGGCATCCTGCCCCGCCCCCTCTGCTCCGGTGGGACCCTTGGCCCAGCCCCAGACTTCCTGTGCGTCAGATGGAAGAAGCCTGCGGGGTGCCAGCAGTGACCACTGTAGTCATCAGTTTGGACAGCTGCTGCGGAGACCAGGCTAGCAGCCCTGGGCTCCAGTCTCTGTGGAACGGGACCTCTCATCTTAGCCCCCTTCCCCCCCACCAAGAGCCTGCCTGGCCAGGCCATGTGTCCCTCGACCTTGAACTCCTTCTGACCTTGCGTGACAAGCACCCTCACTTCCAGTTACCAGGAGACAAGAGCATGTCCGGTGCTGTGCAGGATGGAAGAGGTTCGGGTTGTGTAAACAACTGCAGGGCCCTTTTCCCTAAATGGTGGTCCTGCTTAGAAGCCTGGATGGAGGAGAGGGGACCCCTTGCACTCTGTGTGCAGGTGTGTGTACGCACACCTGGAGCCAGGTTCTGGAGAACCAGCCATATGTCCCCTTCACTTGGTTTCCTCCGGAAGGAGAGCCTGGGCCCAGTCATCGCTCCCTGTTCCTAAAACAGAGTCAGATGCCGGGCTGGACTCTTCCTCTTGGCTTCACCTCCCAGCAGCCTCAGCGACGCTAGCCCAGAGCTGGGCCCTTAGGCTACACCTACGGTCTGACCTTGGGCAGATGACCTTCTAGACCTTGGTTTATTGACGCTGAAAACAGGTCATTGTCTGCTCTCCTGCAGCCCCAGGGTGACTGGGGTGCATGTTTCCCCTGTGTGCTTCCTGTGTGGGCCTCCAGGCAGCCCACTCTTCCCCTTCAGTAGCGGTGGAGCCAGAGTAGACACCGAGCGCCCTTCAAGCTCAGCGGTTAGCACCCCTCATTTGACAGGAGGCGAGTCGGGGCCTGAGAACAAACCCTCCCCTAACTAACTCCGCTGACTGCTTTGGGAGCCTGGCCTTCAGGTAGTGACCGCAAGGACCCTTCCTGGAGTGGGGACACTGTCCCAGACACGGACTGAGTTCTAGCACCAGGATCACCTCCAGAAGCCGCACCCCCGAGAGGACATTCCCCCTCTCCTTTACCAGCCTGGCCTTCTGTGCCCTGCCCCCAAACCTGTCTCATCTTCACAACAGCGCAGGACTGCCCACTCCACCTGCTCGGGTCAGCCCCCCTGCTGCCCTGGGGGTTCTTACCATGGGAGAAGTGGGTGTTCTGGCTGGCTTGGCGGAGACGTGTGCCTTGGGAAGCACCCAGCCGCTCCGGGGGGCTGGCAGCAGCCTGCTGGCGGAGGCTAACCTCAGCATGGCCGTTGAGCCGAGCTCCTCGTGTCCAGCAAAGTTCTGCACTTGGGCTCGGCGTGTCCTCTGCTCACTTGGGTGTTGGGGCTTTTTATAGCTCCGGGGGAGGGGGCAGGGAGCACTACAGCTGTCCCCTCCCGTCGTGGTGCTTTGGCAGAAAGCACGCCCGCTCAGAAGTGGGGAGAGCCAGCGCGCAGACCGGCAGCTGCCAGCACTGCCCCTGCCGTGGCCCCCGTGGTCTTCGGGCCCTGTGTAGCGCAGGCAGACATCACCTGGAGAAGGCCTTCATTCCTCTGAGAAAGGCGCTCGGAGAAGCAGGGCCAGGGAGGTCAGGGAATTTGGGAGCGCAAGAACGGAAAAGTGACATCATTTCAGAGTGAGCCTTAAATATCTGGGGTGTCAGCTGGCAGGACGGTGCATGGAGCTATTTTTAAGTTCTCTTGACTTGGGAGTTCCCGGCGGAGCTGCCCAGCCTCCTCGTCCGTGACCGATACAGCCCCACTCCACCTGCGCGCGGCACTGGTGGGTCAGAGCAGCCTGGCTGCTGATTTCAGTGGCACTGTCACTAATGCTGACAGCTTTGTTCCGAGACTAGACAGTCACCGTTGCACCATCGTTGCACTAGGCATGGCACACGGTAGATCAGCAGATACTTTGTGCACGCCAGTTCGGGGACGGGGAGGTGGCGTGGGGGCGGGGGGTGGGCAACACTCAGGCCCTTGCCTCCTGGCCCACATGCAGGTAAAGGCTCCCAGGGCCAAATGTCCTGGGTCCGCGCTGCCCACCAACCCTGGGGTAGTGGGCCTGTAACCCACCCACAAGCCCTGTGTGAGCTCAGAGCCTCCCTGCCTCTCTTCCCTTCTACAGAGAATGGGTCACTCGTTTCTTCCCACAGCAAACATCTCCTGGCAAATCTGTTCTACTGAGAGAGTGTTTCACACCTTCTCTCTGTACAAACCCTCCCCCCTCACTGGAGACCCTGCTGCTGATTCCGAGAGAACAGAAGTGACCAGATACGACCCGCTGCTCAACCCCACTTCCCGTCGACCAGGAGTGCCGTGGCCCTGAGCCCCAGGGGGTCACATGCCAAGGTCACGTCCCCAGCGGCCTCTCCAGCCCTTCTCTCCTAGGTTGCTGGATGCTGAGCCTCTGCTCTTCCTTCCACCTTGTCCGGATCTTGCGTGACCCCTGACAGCCCCAGGACTTTCGCTGTCTCTCCACCCACCTTCACGCCTCATCTGGCCTTGTACCCCGGCGGCTTATCCGTCACGATATTTAGGATGTACCGACGCCAACCCTTACCCCCTCTTTGGTGGGGTTCCTGAGGCTCTACAGTGAGTGCCCCACCCTGTCCCTCCCCAGCTGCTCAGCCCAAATGTCTGAGCACCACCCTTGTTTCCCTCGGGTGCTCACGCTCCCACCAGGTCACCAACATCACCACACCCCACCCTCCCCCCGTACAACCTTGAATGTGTCCTCTGAGACTGTCCCACACAGTGGCCAGGACAGCCCTTCAGGAACAACCAGGGCCTGCCACTGCCACTGCTCAGCGCCGCCCCCCCCCCCCCCAGAGACTCCACCCACTTCCTTCTCATGGCCTCCAAGGCCTAAAGGGTCTGACCACTGCCTGCCTGGTCCCAGCCACACCTCACTCCCACCCACACTGGTGCCTCAGCCTCATGTTTCCAAATTAGTCAGGCCCTGTTCAAACGACCTCTCCTCAGACACATCTTATTGGTTGGTGGTCTGCTTATGTAGCTGGAATACAAGCCCGATAAGGGCAAGGACTTTGTTGGGCTCATCACAGAACTGTTGGGGCCTGGCAGATTTCCAATCAATGTTGGAAGGATAGGTTGGGGTGTGGAAAGGAGGGATGGGAGCGGGGCCTGGATGGATGGGGTCGGGAGGACAGGTGTAGTTCTCATGTCACAGCTGGCATCGGCTTGGATTGAGAGGGGAAACTGCAGGGCTTTACTCTACTGTCAGCAGGACCTTGATTACTGTGGACGGCAGTAAAGGTCACAGCCCAGACCTGATCAGTGTGGGCACAGGCCAGTCGCCGAGAAGCAGCAGGCCATCTGACCACATCGGTCCCTCAGCCCCCAGACTCGGCTGCGGTCACCGTCCTCACCAGGTATGATGACACCCCAATCCGCTTGTCTACAAACGGTGGGTTGATGATCCGAATACATCGCAGGAGGATCCTAGTTTCGCTTTTGTCCTTCCCTGGAAACCACCCTCGTTCCAACTGTGGGGCTCTTTTCTGGGCGCCCCACCCCGCCTCCCACTGTCTCCCTGTGCCTTGGTTTCCAGTGAGGAGCCAAGTCCCTGGAGGCTGGAGGCGGGCGTGTGTCCTGAATGTTATCTCCAGCAGCTGGGTCCCGATGTCAGCCTTAGGCCGTGGGGGGCTCTGCCCCTCCTCTAGAGTAATCCCTTCCACCTAAACCTTTAATTATAGGTCCAGTCAGGAATAAGGCTGCGGGTCAGATGATCAATCATCCAGCCTACGGTGTTTCTTTTTTCACAGAAAAGACCTGCTGTCCCCAACCATCCAGGCGTGGTTGTAAGGAAGGCCTTCTCCGTCCTTCCCAGCTCAGGAGGCGGGGGGGGGCGGGGGGGGGGGGGGGCATGTGCTACTGTGCTGCAGGATGGCAGCCCAGCACCAGATGAGAAAGGCCCTGGTGAGGGCTGGGACAGGGGAGCTGGGGCTGCCCTCCAAGGGAGAGAGATGTCCTCAAACTTTTATGCTACACCAGCTTTCGCCTTCAGCTCCTTTCCATCCATACCCTCCATGCCTAACCTTCCCAGCCTTCCCGAGCACAAACCTGCCTCCCTCGCTTCTGTGTTCGCGCAGCTTCCGGGGAGCCCACCACCTGTAGTGGTGGGCTTCAGGCCTCAACCTTACTGGGTTTTTAGTCCCAAGAACCACCTGTTCAAAACAAACCCTGCACAGATCCCTGCCGCCCCGACCCCACACAGATGCTACTAGAGGTGGGGAGCCTGGCATGGCCTCTACCTTCATTGCTCTGTGGCCACAGTGCTTCTGCAGAGCACTGCCCTGTGTCCTGGGCTGCCTTCTTCCACCTGGAAGGAAATGAGACAACCCATGGAGAAGGGTGTGGTGGCCAAGTTGGGGGTCGTATTGAACAACAAAGTAAAAGGCTCTGAGGGCTGGAGGGTTGGATGAATCCCCTGTAACAGCAGGAGAAATCATGGCTTGAAGAGGGAGCGGGCCCAGGGTTCGGGACAAGCCAGGCCTGTCCCTGGCCTGTCCTGGACAGAAGTAGCATCAGGAAGAGCTCCCGAAGGCAACACAGAAGTACCTCTGTCTCCCGAATCCTCAGCCTCGTGTCCTTCATCCAGCCACATCCAGCATGTACCTATCTCTGCCCTCCACCTGTCCCTGCTGCCCCGGGGACACCCGTGCACACCCTCCCTCTCAAAGCTGCCAGGCCACCTGCAAGGTCTGGGGTAGACATGTGGGCGCATGGCACCACCCTGTGTCCATACTCGGAACCACAGCAGCTGCTGGAGAAACCAGAGAGGCACTGACAGCGAGACAAAGGTTCTTAGCCTCAGGGACCCAGAAAAAAATGCACATGCACGCAAACATTTGCATATTGTTTTTCTTGCATTGGAAATCTATTTCATCACATAAAACAGTGGTTCTCAAAGTAAGGTCCCTGGACCAGCAGCATCAGCATCACCTGGGAACTTGTTAGAAATTCTAGGGGCACCTGGATGGCTCAGTTGGTTGAGCGTCCGACTTCGGCTCAGGTCACGATCTCACGATTCATGGGTTCAGGCCCCCTGTCAGGCTCTGTGCTGACAGCTCAGAGCCTGGAGGCCGCTTCCGATTCGGTGTCCCTCCCCCCCCCCGCCCCTCCCCCATTTGCTCTCTCTCTCTCTCTCTCTGTGTCTCTTTCAAAAATAAACATAAAAAAAAAAAATTCTATGATGGTCCCAGTGGCCTGTTACAATAATCTTCCCACGAAATTCTGATGCACAGACAAGTTTGAGAACCATTTTATGTTATATAAAAACTGGACGCTTCATGCTATTCATTCGAAACTAAATGTACACCCCGCCACCTGAGAGGGCTCAGTGGGGTAAGCATTCAACTTCGGCTCAGGTCATGATCTCACAGCCCGTGAGTTCCAGCCCCGCGTCGGGCTCTGTGCTGACAGCTCAGGGCCTGGAGCCTGCTTCAGATTCTGTGTCTCCCTCTCTCTCTGCCCCTCCCCTGCTCGTGCTCTGTCTCTCAAAAATAAATAAACATTAAAGATTTTTTGGGGCGCCTGGGTGGCGCAGTCGGTTAAGCGTCCGACTTCAGCCAGGTCACGATCTCGCAGTCCGTGAGTTCGAGCCCCGCGTCGGGCTCTGGGCTGATGGCTCAGAGCCTGGAGCCTGTTTCCGATTCTGTGTCTCCCTCTCTCTCTGCCCCTCCCCCGTTCATGCTCTGTCTCTCTCTGTCCCAAAAATAAATAAACGTTGAAAAAAAAAAATTAAAAAAAAAAAAAAGATTTTTTTAAATAAATCTCACCCAGGCTGCAAAACTCAGCCCTTTCCTTTTACCTACAAAAACACACTTCCACTAAGTAAGTAGAGCAGGATTTGCTGAAAACTTGTAGTTCAGGGGTAGAGAATCTTGCGGGGGGGGGGGGGGCAGCGGCCTCTTCCTACATCCCACTCTTGCACTCACTCCCCGGAAGCTCAGCTCTCAGGCCCACCCAATGTGGGATACACGCACAGAGACACTGGTGCTCAGCAGTCAGCAGCTCACACCCCCACAGTCCTTGGTGTGATCGCTCATTTTATGTGTCAGCTCAAGTGGGCCATGACGCCCAGATACCTGGTCCAACATTATTCTGGATGTCCCTGTGAAGGTGATTTTTGGGCGAGATTAACATTTAAATGGGTGGACTTTACGTAAAGCAGATTACTCTCAGTGGTGTGGGTGGGCCTCATCCAATCAATTTAAGGCCATAACAACAAAAACTGACCTTCCCAAGCAAGAAGGAACTGCCAGCAGATGGCCTTTGGACTCAAACTGCCAGCCCAACCTGCACCGTTTGGACTTACCAAGTCTCCACAATCACAGGAGCCAATTTCTTAAAGTAAATCCTCCCCACCCCATCTCTCCCCCTACACACACACAAAAACCCTGTTGGTCCTGATTCTCAGGTAGAACCCTGACTAACACAGTCAGCAAAACTGTGCCAGAAGAGAAGCCCTTTAGGTGTTTTGTCCTTTCACCTTTGGCAGTGAAAATAAAACTTTATTACACTTTCTTTTCTCTAATGCACACCA